TTGTGGGGCCGTGGATGGTCGTGATGCTGGTGGGGGGGGAGGGGCCCAGATGCAATGTATGCGAGCCTAGGCTGTATCGGTTTGGCGTCTGGCCTTTGCACACCTGGCATCGCGTGCCTGGCAGCGTGGGAGCGTGCACAAGGACGGCAGGCTGCCCGGCAATGCCGACCGATGAATTCCTGCGGAGCTGTTTGTGGGGCCGTGGATGGTCGTGATGCTGGTGGGGGGGGAGGGGCCCAGATGCAATGTATGCGAGCCTAGGCTGTATCGGTTTGGCGTCTGGCCTTTGCACACCTGGCATCGCTTGCCTGGAAGCGTGGGAGCGTGCACAAGGACGGCAGGCTGCCCGGCAATGCCGACCGATGAATTCCTGCTCCTGCATCCTGGGCCCTCCCGAGCCCATACACACATAACCACGACACATGCACAGGCGCCGGCATTCACCTGCACCTGCAACGTGTGCCAGCGCGAGATTCAGGCTGGCGAGGGGTACAGATGCACCGTCTGCCCCGACTTTGACATGTGCAACGACTGCTACTGCAAGCCCACCGTCTCGTGAGTTGTTGCCTTGCGTTTTTTGGGGGGGGGGGGGGGGGAGGTGGGGGAGGCACCTCGAGAGCATTGGCCGAGGAGAGCGCCGGCTCCTCCGTGTCATGCAGGGGTCCTGCCGCCCAAGTGTACTCTTGCACCCTGGGATGCACGAGCCTGCATGGCACCATCTGATCTTTCCCCCCTTTCTTCCCACCAGGCACCCGCACGCCCTGGAACGGCACGTGCGCAAGTTTGACGAGACACGGAGCCGGCTGACGGAGGAGGAGCGGCAGCAGCGTGCTAACCAGCTGCAGCGAACCATGCATGTGGGTGGATGTGGGGGCAGTGGTGCCCAGGCATGCCCGGGGGTTTTGGGCGTGGCTGATGGCTCGGCTTTGGGATTGCTGGCCGGAGGTATGTGCCAGAACATCCACAGGTCACTGTTTCGGAGCCTTGTCCATGCGGACCCCAGACCCAAATCCACCCATTCCCACCCAAAGCCCCCCCTCCACCTTACCCCCCGCCCCCCCTCTTCCCTCTCTACAGATGCTGGTGCACGCCTCCGCCTGCTCCAACCCGGCCTGCCCCTCCTCAAACTGCGCGAAGATCAAGCGCCTGTTCCAGCACGCGATGACCTGCCCCAAGAAGATCCACGGCAACTGCCAGCTGTGCTGGTGCGTGGTGGCGCTGCCTGGGGCGGGGAAGGAGGGAGTTGGTGGCTGGTCCCGGTGTTGGGGAAGGCGCCATGTGACTGACTGCAGCCTTTCCCAAGCAGGGGCAGTTGGGGGCACCTCTCAGTCCTTGCATGAGCTGCGTCTCCCCTGGCTTGCAACCCCACACCTGCACCCACCCTCATCCGAGCTCAACCCCCTCCCCTTCAACCAACACACCCCAATCATTACACAGGCGGATGTGGTCGCTGCTGCAGGTCCACGCCAAGCAGTGCACGGTGACGGACTGCCCCGTGCCACGCTGCCGCGAGCTGCGGGAGCTGTCACGCAGCCAGGCCGCGCGTCGCGAGGACCAGCGGCGGCGCGCCTACCGTGCCATGCTGACCTCGCAGGCCGCCAACCCGTAGCCGCCGTGCTTCGAACTCACTTCCTTGTCACCACTAGATCCCCCCTTGCCTTGGCCCCCAAGGACAAAACCTGACACCACCCACGCTGGTCGGCCCTCAGCCGCATGTCACCCCATACACTGGGAGCTTTCATTGCATGTATTCCCGCTGCTACCCTGACCCGCCCCAACCGCTGCGGATCTGTCTCCTTGTGCACATTTCGAACCGCAGGCAAGATGCGGGGCGTCCCTGCCACTGGGACGCCACGCCAAATTGGACGGTTGTAAGCCTCACACAGAGCCGGGTGGCAAGCATCTCGTGAGGAGGAAGGGTGGAGCATGGAAGGTCCAGGGGGGAAAGGATACGCGGAATCAAAGTGCACTCCCAGGTTGTCAATCAAGGTGGTGGGCGAGGGGGGTGTGATACCTTGGAGGCCTGGCCAAGGCATGCAGGTGTCTCCTCACAGTCATACGGCGATGCTGGGTGGGAGAGGGCCGCATGAGGCAGCGTCTGATCATTCAGGTGCCCCGCGCCAAGCCGTGTCTGGTCCAGCGGACACTGAGGACGTGCCGCTCCGGTCCAGAGCGCTTGTGCATGCAGAGGCAGTCGGCAGCGCAGGAGCGCTGCCGGCCTGACAGCGCAGGCTCAGCAAGCCCCCGGAAGGCACGACTGCCAGACAGTCGTCGCCCCCCGCTCATCTCCGCTGGTGTGCACGCGCCAGTGCTCGGGGACGATGGAGGTTGCGGGGCCGTAAGCCTTGCGCTGAGAGTTGGCCAGCACCAGGACGCCTCCCTGGGGAGCGTGGGAGGGCATGGGGGAGGGGACGGTCACTGGTTGAGAAACAGAATCTGCATCGACTCTGTGAAACGCCCTGGTGCAGGCCAGGCGCCTTGTGTCACGTTCACGACACACATCATCCCTCCCCTCGCCCGCACCGAAGGCTGGAGCAGCTTCACGGCGCGTCTGAGCGCTGCCAGGCGCGCCATGCCCTGCACGGCGATGAATGAGTAGGCGCCCTCCCTGTTTTCTGGTGCCTCGATGTAGGCGGTGAAGTAGTGCTCATACGACTCCGCCTGGAGGAAGGTGAGCACCGGCCCCGCCGGCGGGACGACCCGCAGTCGCCACCGCGCCTGCAGGTCCTCCGCCCCAAATGCCGACTGGAGAATCGTGGGCGTGTGGCGGGGCTCAGCGGCGGCGTGCCGCCGGATGCGACCGTGGAAGGCTGGTCGGGGACGCCCGTGGCAGACTGACCCTCGCCCCATGCTGGGCTCAGGTGTAGCGCCCCCCCCTCCACCCCCACCCCCCCACTGGCAGCCTGTCTCACCTGCATCGTGGCGTTGACCTTGGTTGCAACCCCCACATCATGCTCCACGCTTTCCAGCTGTCCAATCAGGCCGGAGAGGAGCCAGAGCGTGGAGGAGCCCGCCCCCCACTCCAGGCCCTGCCCCGCTCCCTGCAGCGAGAGCAGGGATCGAACCAGGTTGATGGCCTCCCGCGTCCACTCCGGCTCGCAGGCGTTGCCGTACAGGTCAGAGGTGAAGACCACGGGGCGCGCGCCGAGGCTCAGCGACGCGTGGCAGGACCCCGGGATGCTGCGCAGCCTGGCCGCCTCCACGGCGGCCTGGAAGCTGTCGAGCGCTCCTGGAAGCGTTTGTGGGGGAATGGGGGGGAGGAAAGGACAGGTGGGAGGCCCGACAGTGTGCTATCCTATGGGAATGTGGCCACCCCATGACGAGGCGCCGCCTGGCCAGCATCGCACGGCCCGCCCCCGCTCTGAAAGGTCGAGCACCTCACCTTGGCTCGACGAAGTGTCACCCGCGAGAGCCTGGACCTCCAGGGTGGCACCGGGAACCACTATGAAGCGGAAGGAGATCATGGTCAGAGTCGCGCACAGCACCAGCACGACGAGGATCCCACCGCGCAGGGCCCTGCAGCGCGAGGACCGAGACGGGCTGGATCCCCTCATGCCGCGCTTTGGGGGCGCGCCTGCCAGTACCCTCGCCGTCCTGGACAGATCTGGGGTGGGCCCGTCTGAATCGGCGGTTGCTCACGCAAAGAGAAGTCCACGGCCGCTCCACAGCAAATTATGCATCGGCGGCATGCAACCATGAATAACTTCCCGTTTGAAAACTAGTGATTGCTTTCTTGCACTCCAGAGCGAGTTTCATTACAGTCTGCGTTGAGTTGGTTGCGAAACACCGCTCGTCCGTGATCCGCGCGCGCGCTAAGTTCTCGCCAGATCACGGCCCTGTACAGTCAACTTGGCGGCTGCCTGGCGTAGCGCTCTCCCCGCTCGCGAAAGGAGGACACAGAAATGACTAAACACTGATGAACGCGTGCAATCCTAGACTACCATGCCATGAAAGTGCTGCTCCACTGATGGGAGCAGCATCTCCAGGTTGCATGCATGCAAACACCTTCCTGACTGGAGGCAAAGCCCGAGAGAAGGCTGAGGTGTGTTGTGCGAGGCACGCAGGCAGATCGCCGTGCGATGTCAGTGTTCAAGGTGCCCTGAGCTGGTTCACTCTTGGACACAGGGTCGTCACCGCCTGTGCCCATTGAGCGAGAGCCATAGGCGGACGGATGCTTGGGCGGGGGAGGGTGGAAGCCCCTTTGGTCTGGCCACCTGTTGTCTTCGGCAGCAACATTTCGTGTTCTCAGCACAGACCAAGCCTCACTTCTTGGTACACAGTGCCAGCCCGTCGCTGATGGGTAGGAGGCTGAAGAGGATTCGCTCGTCCGCCAGGAGGAAGCTGTTCAGCTCTCGGATGGCCTCGGTGCGGGCGTCGGTCGCCCCGGCATCCGCCACCTGCCCGTACCACAGCACATTGTCAAAGGCGATCACACCCCCAGGCCGGACCAGCTGTGGCAGTGGTAGGAGGGTGAGGACAAAAGCTGACGACGATGAGAACGGTTCGCAACACACTTTGCGGTGAGGCTCCCATGCCTGATTGGGGCCGGAATCTTGCTTTCCCATATCATCACAGGCAGTGTCATGAGCGTACGATGCATCCCACAGCCACGGCCACCCCCAAGCCACCACCCCACCACACCTGCAGGAGCTGTTCGTAGTACCCCATGTACCCGCGCTTGTCTGCATCCACGAACGCAAAGTCGTATTGCCCTGCCTCGCCTGCGCTCAGCAGCAACTCCAGCGTCTCGCGAGCTGGACGAACATGCTCTACGATCTTGGGGCCAAGAAAGGAGGGGTTTGTGTTGCCGGACAGGGGAGCAAGGACCGCTGTGAAGCAGTGTCAATATTTTCGACATCCACCACACTGCCAACCCAGAGGCCTCGCACTGTCGACACAGACGCCCCGGCATGGAGGGGCCCATGTCCTCCTCTAAACACCCAAACAGAGTTGCTTGCATAGATTGCACAAGCATTCTTGCCGCCATGGGAGTATCTGCTGGGCAGCGCCCTGAAATCTCTTGAAGCATGCAGTCGCAGCAGCAAGCACCAGAGAAGAAGGGACGCACTGACCCCGGCACCAAACCCCCTGCTCCTTGCAGCGGGTCTGGACCGCACAGGAGACGGGAGCCGCACATCCGACTCGCATACACCCCTCCCCGGCCACATTGGCTCACCCTGTCGAGTACGCCGGCCCTGTCCCAGCATCTTCGTGCCACTGCCAGCGCGCGCTCGTCAGGGTCGCAGGCAAGCAGCTTCCCGCCAGGTCCGAGGGCGGTGGCGGTCGCTATGCTGCTGTACCCCGTGAACACACCCACCTCAATGGCCCGCGTGGCGCGGAGGGTGGCCACCAGCCAGTGCATGAAGGCGCCTTGATCGGGGGTGATCTGCATCCGCGCTGCGGCAGGGAAGAGCTCCGCAGTCTCCCGCCGGAGATCCTTGAGCACCTGTGCATACCAGTGGCAGGAATATAATAAGAAAATATGGACAAGACAAAGGGCGTTCTGCGCTTTCCGCGACTGCTCCTGCTCACCTCCGTTTCGCGAGTGTGCTGGAGCAGGTACCCGACCAGCCCATCATCCAAGCCAGCTGACACCTTGGTTTTCGCGCATTGAACCGATCTGCGTATGTCGGCAAGGTTTGCCTCGTGTTCCAGCTTGCTATGGGTATCCCCCCGTGGCGGTATGCATGTGAAACGGTACTCCGCACCTTGTCGCCAAGGCACGCGTGGTCGGGCTGCCTAGGCCCCGCGAACAGAGGGGCAATCCCAAAGTTACGTGAAGGCTAAACATGACAACATCGGGGATGCTGGTGTGGAGGCAATGAGGGTGTCAGTATCTGCAATGCGACCCTTTGAACACACAAACCGCGACGACAATGGCGGTAAGGAAGGGGCGAGTAGGGTGTCGGAGTCAACCTCACCTTCGTAGCTCACAGCGCGGCGATGGGCGACACGAGAAGCACTCCGATGCTCCTGAACCGCGTTTCGACTGGCGGTTGGGGTTTCAAGATCCCATTCCTGTCCCTTAATGGCATACTCGAGCCAGGTGTAGTCTCTCAAAGAATCAGGAAACCAACGCCCTGAGGAGTGGCATGGGGCGAAGTAAAGGAAAGCGCTGCCGGAGACCGTCCCAAGCTCAAACTGTCAAATCTGTGCGAAAGTGGAAGGGGGCATGGAACGGCGGCATGAAACTCTTCGATCTGCCCATGACCATTCTGCTCAAGATCCTCCATCTGGCGTTAGGCGTGGATTCCATCTCGACCGACGTCGTCGGACGATTTGGATTGACGGGTGACAGGCTTCCGCTCTGGAGATGCATGCCCGGGGTTTGTGGGTGCTGTGTTTTGGGGCTCCGGGCACCGGACATGTATGGATCTGCATGCTGGGCAAGCGTTGTCTGTGGAGCAATCTTGTCTAGGTGTCCAGAGCGCAGATACGGCACAGCACTCTTGCCAGCCTTGTATGAGAGATTCACCAGCAGCACCCTTCCCTGCAGTGCTGCATCAGTGCTGTGCAAGGCTTCTCTGGCGCTGTGCGTCCAGGCTGGGTGGTGGAGGCAGCTGCACGTGTCTTGAAAATCACAGAGGCACCCATGCCGTGAAGAGTTCAAACGCATCGTTCTCCACCACCTGGCCACGACGGAGACGATGCACATCCTTCACAAGGACCACGGCGGCTTCTCCAATGCCTGGATCTTGCCCATGATGATGACGGAGAGGGCTCCACCGCTGAGACACCTCGTCCTACCTCACATTGTATGGCCGAGCCTCGTGCAACCGACCCTCCTGCAAAGTGTGAAGTCCCAATGGTGCGAGGGGCTGGCTAGCACTGCAGTCTTGGGGGTTCTGAACGACACGGTGCATTACAACGCCCGGAGATGGCGCTCATGAGGTGCTGCAGGGATGGGGGAGGGGGTGGGTCCCCCGTCCCCACGACGGCTCCAGCAGTTGCCGGCGCGCCGGAGCCGCCTCTGCTGCGCATCACCCCACACACCAGACTCCTTGATGGGGCGACGGCTCTGTGCCGGCGGTGTCTGTGCCTCTTCCCCCACCCTGAACGCCCGGCTGCTGAAGCGCCCAGGTGCCCCATTCCCCATCCCGGAACACCTCCACCACACCTTGCAGCGAGGTCCATCACGCCGGCCTCGGGCCAGGGCCGTGCCTGGAGCCCTTCAGGAAGCTGCGCCACCAGGAGCTCACCATCGAGGGCAACCCTGGCCTCGATGCAGATAAGCTGCAGTGCCTGCCCCAGGTCTGCCCGGACTTGGTCACCCTGGCCCTGGCACAGCCGGGCATCCAGCTGCCGCCCTGCTGCCGCCAGCTGCGATCTCTGAGCAGGGTAAAGCTGCACGCGAAAAGTCTCCCCGTGGGCGGACTTCAGTACCTTGAAAGCCTGCGGACGCTCGACTTGTTTGCAGAGGGGATCGGTGGTGTTCCCCCAGGCGAGTACGACTGGCTGCGCCTGAGGCAGTATGAGAGCGAGGTGGAGGAGCAGTTGCAGGCATTGGGGCATGGTCCCTGCTGCCTCCAGATCTCCACCTCACACCACCACGCCTTCTACCACACGCCGCGCTTCGACCTAGCCTGGATGCGGCTGCAGGTCCTGCAGGTGTTTTGTCGGCCGTCGCTTCGCTTCGGCCTGCCGCCGGAGCTCAGGGTGTTGGAGGTCAAGAACAACCTGGTGGAAGATGGTTATGGGATGTATGACTACGCCCCAGATGTCAAGACCATCCAAGACATCCACCTCCCAGCCAGCGTGGTCGCCGTCAGCCTGATCGAAAGCTCCAGGAGCATCTGTCCAGAGGCGGGTGCAGGCCAGGTGAAGGTGCTTGGGAGATGCCGGTTGAAAGACCACTCACCCAGCCATCCAGGGCAGCAGGTGGTCAGCGCCAACAAGGAGTTCTGGCGCAGGGCGGCCTCCCTGCCCGAGGTCCAGCTGGATGCGTATGGCGCTGCGTATGCAACGGAGTGGTCCAGCAACTCGAAGATCCATTACTTTAACTGACCCCCACCCTTGATGGCCCATTTGAGAGCTTCTCTTGTTGGTGGAGCCGGTGCGGGAATGTACTGCTGAAATTATTCAGTGTGCGGTCATTGTCGACGCAATTTTAGCATGTCACTCAGGGCATGTACAACAGCTTGGCCATGTTCGGTCTGCTGGACTTTTGTGCACAAGCATCTTCTTCAAGTGTTGACACACGAGCCTGTGGGGGTTGATGGTAATGGGTACATCTATTGGCAGGGCGGGCGGTGCTTCACGCAGGGAGTGCACAAAATTTCCACTAATGGTGATGGAATAGATCTGTTTCCGCTCGTGCACCTGATTGTAAAATGTAAGGGACATCGAGCCAAAACATAAAAAATGTTTGACACAGATAGGGGTCGAACCTACGACCTTCCGCTCCGTAGGCGGATGCTCTATCCATTGAGCTACAGTGCCGATGAAGACATCGCATGTCGGATGGTTGATGAAAGATTCGATATGGTTGCCTTATACATACCGGGGTTTGATGCGAATCCGGGTGGGTGTCTTGCATTTTCCTGGGGGTGAGGTTCTTGAATACTGGAGAGCACGTACAGATGCATGGAGGACCTTGAGCTTGTCATCAGATGAATGAGAACACGTCAAGTGACCTCTTTGCACGGAGGTAAAAGGATGTGGGCTGCTCGGCATTGTCCCACATCCCGTCAAACCCACTGGCAGGCCAGAACCCCCCAGGGGTGCATTGGTGCATCCAGTCACCGCAATTCCATCCAGCAGTCGGCATGCCTGTTACAGGGAGGGTCACCGCATGAGCGAGGAGGCGCATCCCGCATGGCACGAGAGGGATCAGGGGAAAAGCGGGCTGACATCGCGTGGTCATGATACTTTAAATAAAACATTGCAGAGGGAGCACGTGCAGGTGGGGTGATGCCGGGTGCCACGGGCTGCGGAGGCAGGCATGCCGTGGGAATGGTGGTGAAGTCAGACTGGGGTTGTCGGGCAGGCGCCGTGATACACCGGGGGCAGGCAGGCCCTGGGGTGGTGTTTGGCTGGGATGAGGGTGATGCCGGGTGGTCTGCGGGGCGGAGGCGACGATCCCTGGACCTTGTCCTGATGGACAAGCCCAAGCAGGGATACTCGTGGACTCGGCTGGAAAAGATCTCCACTGCCGGAATCAGGCCGGTGGCCCGGGGAGCGCCTCGCCCTCCCGCCCCTGCCGCCGGATGATGCGCAGGTGGATGACCGTGCGGTCCTCCGTCCAGCGCTCCAGCGCCAGGGTGTCGCCTGGGTGTTGATGCAGACGGGGTGGGTGGACGAGGTGCCAGGGACATGTGGGCCTTGCTCTGTCCAGGCCTCCCCAAGCATGGCTTGCACGCATGTTGAGGTTGGGCACACCACTTAGATCTCTCCCTGAGAAGGATGCATGCCATCACCCTCATGCAGGCACTCAGCCGGGCCCCCTTGGAAGCTGGCCGCACTCTCTCCACCCCCCTCACCGATGGTCACGTTCTGGACGCGCATGAGCCCACTCCAGCCCGAGGTCAGGCGGAAGTGGCGCTGCCCGCTGGACATGAAGCCCTCGTACTGGGACAGGGGGGGTGGGCAGCGGTGGCATGGGCTCATTGGGTCGTATGGGGGCATCAGGGGGAGCAAGACGTGAGTGGAGGCGATGGAGGGTGACGGGAGCAGGCCTCCCTGACCTCGGGCCTGCTGGCGTGCCCCGCTCACACACACCTGCCCCTGTGCCCCGTCCTCTGGTGAGTGCGAGGGCCTGGGCGTGTCACACGCCTTGCGTGCCCATCCCCCTCCTCCCGCACCAAAACAAGTCAAAGAAAGGGGCAAACCTGCACGGGCCAGGCCTCGTCCGCCTCATCCACGATGACCAGGCGGTGCTTGAAGAGCGAGTTGAAGTTGGCGGGCGCGTCGCCCTCGCGGCCGGGGGCCCGGCCGCGCTCCCGCGCCTCCTCCGGCTGCGGGAACAGGAGCTGCGCCATCTGCTGCGTCACGTGCAGGCGGTTGATGTAGGTGCCGTTGGTGATGGGGCGCTCCACCTTCTCCAGCGGCGCGCGCCGCGCCCGCGCCAGCTCGGCGCGGGTCTGCCCCGGCGCGGCGCGGGCCGGGGTGGGCCCCTGCGGGCCCGGCAGGCGGGGGGCACGCCCAGCGCCGCCCAGCGCCGTCAGGCTGGCCGAGCGCTGCGCGCCCTCGGGCAAGGCCACGCCTTCCTCCCCCAGCTCGCCCGACCCGGCCGCCGCCCGACGCTCGGCCGCGCCGCGCACCGCCGCACCCCCGGGCAAGGCGTCCTCCTCGGACGCCCAGCTGCCCGCAGACGCGGGTCTGGCGCCGCCGGCGGGCCTCCGGCTCCCCGTGGGTCCGCCGGCCGCGCCGCCGGAGCGCAGGCGCTTGCAGCTGGCGGGGAACCAGAGGCCCGGCCCCAGGTCGTCCTCGCCCGAGGCGGAGCCGGGCGCGCGGTCGACCCTGGGCGCGGGCGAAGCGCGCTGCGCGCGCTTCGCGGCCCCGCCCCGCCCGGCCAGTCCGGGGGTGGCCGCCAGGAGTGGCGCGGAGTGTGCGCGCGCGGGGCGCTCCACCAGCGTGCGGATGCCCAGCAGGAGCTCGGCGGCGGCCTCCGACTCGTCCACGGGCGCGTCCGACGACGGCGGCGACGGCGCCTCGCGCCGCGCGGCGCGCGCCTCTGCCGCGTGGCGCGGCGCAGGGGAGCGCGAGGGGCGCTCGAGGTGCGGCGCCGCCGGCGTGGCATGGGGCGCGGCCCCGCTCCAGCTGGAGGGCGATGCGGGCGGGCGGGCCGGGCCCGGGGCGGGGCCGGCGGGGGTCCCCTGAAACCCAGACGGGAGCGGCGGCCCCGCCGGGGCGCCCGCCACCCCGCTCGCGGCCCGGCCCAGGCCGGTGCCGCCGGGCGGCAGCACCAGCGCGCGGCCGGCCACGGTGATGCGCGGCAGCGGCTGCGTGGCGGCGGCCGAGCCGCACGCAGCCGCGCGGGACCCCAGATCCGCTGCGCCGCCCACGTGCCCCGGCACCGAGGCGGAGCGCTGGAAGCCGACGGGACCGCGCATGCCCGGGACGCCCGAGGTGATGGTATTGCCCATGGGGGGCCGGGGCCCGGCGGGCGCGGGGGCCCCGTGCATCTGACCCAGGGAGCGGACCGAGGGCAGGGAGGCGGGCGGGGGGGGCGGCACGGCCGCGCCGCCGCTGCCCTGGCTGCCCATGCACAGCGCGGTCAGCCCCTGCATCAGCAGCGGGTGGATGTCGGCGGCGGGGGAGGCCTCGCTGCCGGACGAGGGCGAGCGGGACGCCAGGCCCTGGAGGAGGAGGGGTGAACGAGGAGGGAGGGGTGTGTGTGTGTGTGTAAGGAGCGCATCGGCTACAGGTTGGGGCCCAGCAACGTTGCATCTGCTGCGGCCAGGCCACGGCGCCTGTCGAGGGGCCCACCGCACGATCACGCCGCCCCTCCAATCCAGCAGCCTCCTCCACCCAACCCCTGACAAAGTACCCCGCACCTGCTGCGCTTCCTTCTGGATCTGGAGCCGGGCGTGGGCAAGCAGGACGGAGAGGCGCAGCGCGTCGGCCTCGCTGAGAGATCCAAGCGGGGACGCGGTGGCGGCGCGCGCGGGGGCCGCGGGGGGGCGGTCGGTGCCCCGGACCCCAGACTGCACCGCGGCGCTGGCAAAGGCCGAGACCTGGGGCGGGGGGGAGTGTCGCTCCAGGCTCCCGCCCTGCCCCGCGGAGCTCTCGTCCGGGGTCTCCAGGCAGTGTCCCAGGGCCCCTTCCTGGCTGCCGGGCGTCCCCTCGCTGGAGGCCAGGGAGGGCGCCAGGGTCAGGTGGAGCTTCGCCGGCACCTCATCCTTCCAGGCTGGTGGCTGGGAGGGAGGCGGGAGGGGGATCGCTGGAAGCAGGGGGGCATGCAGCTCGCATCGCCATGCCCGCTCCATGCCAACATTGAGGGGTTGCCACACACCCCGACACACCTCCTTGACCCGCGTCTGCTGTGATTTGGAGGACGCAAAGTGCGGAGACATGCTGTTACTGGGGATGGTCGAGTCGATGCGGGGTCCAGAGCCGGCCAGAGGGCCCTGCGCCTCCCACAATTCCGTACAGATGCTGTGGTGTCCGGGGGGAACGGGAGCAGGGCGTCATCCACACGGCGCAACGCTCCTGGACAGGAACTGGGCATGTCCAGCCCACACAACGCGAATCGCGTCTCATGGGGTTCGGGGGCCGGAGGAGGGGTCCAGGTGGTGTGGCCTCCCCCTGATGCAGCTACTCCGCGGATTATTAACCTAGAACCCGCCCACCAGCGACCAACAGAGCCCGCTGCTCGATGGCGCCAGGATGTACGGATGGCGCCTCAGAAAACGGCATGGGGCGCAAACAGCAGTCTGGATCCCCCACCCATGCCCCGCAGGGAATCCGCACACCTGCAGCCGTGCACCCTGGGGCAAAGGGGGGGTGGACCCGACTCTGACACCCTGTGGGCACCCCTAACTCCGAACAGCGAAGAGATATCTGCGTTCAACTTTGAATCAACTCGGGGACGGCATGGTGGTTCCAGGCTTCACCCCGCTCCCTGCTGACTGGTTAAGGACGTGCCAGCTGCCGGCCGGAGGAAGACGAGTATCCTGTGCCCCCCGGATCAATTCCACCCGGACTAAAAGTGTACTCCCAATCGCTGGCGCACCCTCTCCACTGCACAATGTTCTAAAAGGGGGTCAGGAAGGTGAGCATAGCCGCAGTGCCAGCTGCATGGCAACAGGGCGACAGAGCGGGAACAAGAGACGGAGTTGCGTGCCTCGCTGGGCGAGACACGCTGGACAGAGTTTGAGGAAGAGCCGGAGTTGCAAAGGGCCGGGCTGGCACGAGGGCATGCGCGCATATCAGAGGGCCAGGGCTCGCTTGCACTGCTCGTACACCATGAACCCTATCGCGTACTGGGGTGCCTGCTTCACCAACGCCAGCCAAACGCCTGAAGTGTGGTAAGGGGGGGGGGGGCATTGCGGGGCTGTGATGAGACGTAGCACTCACCTCCCACGGGGGCGATGTGGAGGCCAGAACTTTGTCCCCTGAATCTTCAGTCCCTGGTCCTCCTCGGGTCAGCCAGGGGCTTGTAGAACCTGCCCCCACCTCCTCCCCACGCCATCCGCTCACCGTTGAAGAGCGCCGAGGCGCCCTCTGTCCGTGCAATGGTTGCCAGGGCGACGGCCGTATTTGGGTAGGCCGCCCCCACCATCATCCGCCGCCTTGCCACCTCCAGGGGGAAAGTCACGGTCGCCGAAACGACTCCTGCAAGGGGTGCGGTAATGGTGGTGCGATCGAGTCGTGCAAAGCATACGAATATACACTGGCAGCAATTGGATGAGTGTCGACGAGCATTAAGTCTGCTGCCTGCATCAGGCAGCGGCCGAACAGCCCCCGTACCAAACCCCTTCAGGCCACACCTGCCACGGCTCCAAACACCAGCGATGCCTGAGGGTCAAGGTGCTCCTTCCCGGTCGCCCGCTTCCAGGAGTACTTGAGGGCGTCGTACAGTCCCAGTCGGATGGCCGTGTAGGGCACCGTGCCAATCAGACTCGCATCCAAACCCTGCAGTGCAATCGACGGTGGGGGAGAGGGGATGCGGTGGGGATCCCTGCATCAGCTTCCGCGCGCATGCGCATGGATGCCCAGGGAGGGCGGCAGCGGCGCAAGTGCGGCGCAGGATTCCTCGACCCGGTGCACTCTTGGGCATGCCAACTTGCACCCCCACCCCCCTAGGCCCCTCACTCCCCCCCTCATCCTCCCCTTGCCGGCTCACCCTGTAGAGGCCCGGAAGGCCGCCGTGCGAGCCCACGCGCTGCAGCGTCTGCACAAAGGTGTGGCCGTTGACCGCCATGCGCGTGCGCACCGTCTCCAGTGGGTAAATGGCGACGGTGGAGGTGATGCCGGCCAGGCCGCCCGCCACGGCGCCGATGGCGCGGTCGGGGACCCAAGGTGTGGCGCGCAGGGTGCGCTTGTAGGAGTCGAAGGCCGCCAGCTCCAGGGCCTTGGAGGGGACGGTGCGCAAGACGTCGATGGTGTTGCCGGCGAAGAAGCCGCCCACGCCCCGGGAGGCCAGCACCGCGCGCGCCGCCTCCACCACCGTCACGCTCCCACCCTGGACCAGCTTCATCTTGAGGGTCTCCAGCGGCGCTGTCACGGTCTTGGAGACGGCACCTGGTCGATTGATGTGGTTTGGGGAGAGGAAGGGTTGGGTGGTAGGGGTCGGCACTTCGGTGGGATCAGAGAACAAGTGAGGGGGGAAAGAGAAGTGCATTCTGCCTCATGCCACCAGAACGGCGTGCGAGTGTGGCATATAGAGTAGGCCCCCACCCGGAAAGGGGGTGGCAGCATTCACATGTAGAAGGTGATGGGGCAAGAATGAAACAGAAACTATGCAGGGAGGTCCATCACGAGGCCCCCCTTCGGCACAGATCGGCCTGCCATCCTCTGCACAGACATGGCCACAGTTCCGCTCTTCAGTTCTGCGTAGACTTCCAGGTCCGGCACATGTGCATTGTGCAACACCTCCCACAGCCCTGGCCCACCTGACACGCCGCCAGCAATGAGGCGTCTGGAAGCAGAGGGCAGGGCCCTGGCCCGATGCATGCCCGAGGCCAGGAAGGCCAGCAGCGCGGTCTGTGCATCGGCAATCGCCCGGTCCAAGGACAGGCGCTGGGTGACCACCTCGCCCTCGCCCAGGCTCGCCAGGTTGAGCACAAGGCTGGGCTGGCGGCCAGCAGCCCGGGGGGCCCTCGTCCGCAGGTTCCCCACCCTCCTGCCGCTGCAGCTGGGAGCGTCACCGGCGCACGATGACAAAGAGGCAAGGGGGAGTAGGCGGGGCACCTCCTCCACGCACGCCTCCAGGTCGAAGACCAGGCAGGACCCGCGCAGGGGGGCCATGGCAGCGTTGCCCCGCGAGGGGGATTCCGAGGAGGTTGCGTCGGCTGTCCTTGAGTAAGAATGCGCCCTTCTGGCACAGGGCTGGGCAGATGTGGCCCAGGTGGATGGCAGTGGATCGCATGCCCAGGCAATGGCGCCCGGGGCCCGCTTCATGGAAATCATACATGCCCGGGCGGGACACCTGCTCTCCCTGTGACAGGCCTCCACTCCCACCCTCAGATTATGTATTAGTCAGATGCTTCGAGATGATACAAATCTGTGGCAGCGTTGTTGGTTTATAAGATTGACCACTGCAGGATGAGCATCCTAGATCTGAATCTAATCCCTTGAGCTGGTTTCAACGTGTTGCTGCCAGAGGGCCTTCTATGATGGAGGGTCCACCATGTGTTCAAAAGCTGCCTTCTTGCCTGCCCGGATCACATTTCAAGATTACGGGAGTCCATCTGGCTCGCAGTGCCACGATGGAAGGTGGGGCATGCAGCAGATGGACAAGTGCATTTCTGTAGTCAGCCTCTGGGGCCATATGGCTGAAACACAGTCAGGCTAAAGCGGATTCATTTCGTGCTTGAACAAAAGCACGCAACATATACTAGCTACTGGCGCCGGTACACGGTCTTGTAGGTGTGAGCTTTCTCCCCCACCTGCAGCAAGGAAGTGCAACGGGGATCGCGTTAAGAGGGCATGGACCATGAGCACAGAGACTCTTCACACACATGGCCTTCCCTCGTGCCTTGATGCTCTGTGTCATGGTGAGCGTTGCCTTGTCCTCCGAAATGCGGTAGAAGTCGACGTTCTGGCCGGCCAGCGGGTCTGCCCAGACAGCTCTGCGGATCGGTTTGTGTGGTACGCAGAGGTCCTGAGCTGGACAGGTGATCACCGCGCTGCCGCCCGGATTCTGCCAAGATTCGAGTACCCATTCCCACCCATGGACGCCATTCAGGCAGCTCACTTGATTTCAATTCCATCTTCTTTGGGTACTAGGTATCCCTCGAAGGTTCCCTTCCGGTTGTCGCGCCTGGAGTGCTCCCGCTTCTGCATGGTTGAGAGTCGTCGATCTTGCGTGCAGGCGGGGAGAGATCACTCACGGGAACATCATCCACAGCCACCTCACCTCTCCAGACACTGGGAAAGCCTCTACAACTTCCCCGGCCCCAAAAGGCTTGTGTGCTCTGCTCTTGAACTCGGTCGGCGAGCTCTCGATGGTCAGCGTGTTCATGAGGGGCAGTGCCTTGCGGACCAGCCAGCCCAACTGCGGATATCAGGATGCGCACCTGTATTTGGAAATCGATCGAGGCAGCTATACAGTCTGACCGGCACAAGCTTGACACATCCGGCCTGCCTGTAGTATGTCGGATACGGGTTTGAGGTCATCGGAGGCGGCTGCATCTTTTCTCCATGTGCCGTTGTAGGTCGTCGGGTCCGCCATGATCTTGTTCGACTGCCAGGACAGCACAGGTCTCGATTTGACCTGTTGACGAAGACACAAACTTATGTTTGTATTCCACTGATGATTTTGTGTCACTCAAGTGTCGAATCAGCCTGAGGGTCGGAGAGGAGACGACGAGGCGAAGTGCGTGGCGATCAGCTCATGCAGGACGCTGGACCCATACCCACGATGGCCCCGGTTTGACATTGACATGCTATGCGCAGGATGTGCTGCAAGTATTGAAGGGCCAATTAAAGATTGGAGAATCAACGTGCGCGTCCGCATGGTCGAGGTAGAAGTTCGTCAAATCCAGCAGCCGGCAATAGCATTCAATGTCAGCTGTAGACCGGAGGCTCTTAGCCCCGGCGCATCCGCGGCTCTCAGCGGATTGCGCGTGCTGGTATCCGCTGGGGTGATTGCCTTTCATTGCCTCATGTACTGGGGCCTCCTGCTCTCACCCGAGACTGTGCACCAGGTAGGCTGTGCCGACCTGCACCGCCTCTCGTTGATGAGAGTCACATCTCAACCCGAGCAAAGGCTTCAACCCCCAATCTCTTACTATAGCTGCTCTCCCACAACATCGTGCTGGAGGCGTTATGGCAAAACATGTTGGGTCCCGACGTGTTTCTGGTCCTCTCAGGGTTCTGGGCCACCCTTCAGCTGGTCCCTGCTTTCCAAAAAGAGCACGGTCCAGCCATCCATGTGGTGAGGAAATACTACAGGTGCGCGCAGTGTGCCCAGAAAGGCTGAGTGGGGAGAGAACGTGACTGCGATGCCGCATTTTGCTTCCAGTCAAGCCCAACTGCCCACTTGCGTCGCCATGCCCAGCCCAGGCCTTATCATCCCAACCGCCCACCGCCTGCAGAAATCGCGTGGCAAGGATTTTGCCGTCTTATTTGGTGGTGCAGCTGGCGGTGGCATTTGCCATAGATCACCACCTTCCCTCCGATCACCATCTGAAGAAAAATCACGACACGTGCATGGAGTATTGCCACCTTAGCCTCCCCCTCAATTTCATGCTGCTGAACAATGCCGTGGGATTTGGAGGGTGTGGCGTGGTGAGTGGTTCCTGGCTGAGGCTTTGCATGTGGCTGGACCTGCGGCTGGATGTGAGGGAGGGAGACAGCCATCGACCTTGTTGCAGGATTGAATGGGTGTCCTATTAAGTTGTCTGCCATGTGCCGAGGCAGGTGTACTGGACTGTGGCAGTGCAGCTGCACCTCTTCCTGGTATACCCTCTCCTGCTGGCCCTGCTCCATACCAGGTGACTCCAGCCTGCAGGGGGATGATTCTGGCTGACATTCCCTCCACCCACCGCCGTGGCTTTTGGAAGAGTTTGCAGTAGTGTGTATTCTTGACTACATTCGTTTGCCGTGCCAAGACACACATTGGCTGCCTGCTGGACGGACCTGGCGGTGACTCGACTTCTCTTCCAACACCACAAACCTAGCAGCGTCGGACCAGAGCGCCTGGCACGGACCTCGGGCATCCTCTTCTCGCTCATCATTCCTGCCATAAGCCTGGCCCGGTATGCAAGCAGCCTGGCAAGGCACGTGACCCTGCCACTGCCCGCCCTGGGCCACCCAGATGTGAGGCTGTGATTGGGGGTGAGAGGATCATCTCCTCAGAGCATCCACCGGTGTGCAAGATGAATGGGGACAGCAAGTGCACTCAAAGAGCACGCACCAACTGGGAAAGGGGTTGCAGGGATGCTGATGCCCGCCTCTGTGCCTCTAACCCGGCCCCAACCCCCGAGCTCACCCCACGGTCACCCACCCGCTCCGACAGCTGGACCCCGCCTGGATCGAGCCAATCCTGAGCTACTTCCACGGCCCCCTGGGCTACTACTCCACCCTCACCCGCGCCACCAACTTCCTGGTCGGCGCCCTGCTGGGCCTCCTGGTGCTCGACCCCGGGCGCTGGGCGGCGCTGCGCCGCCGGCGTGGCGCCTGGGCGGCGGTTTCCCTGGCGGCCCTCGCTGCCTGGGCCGCGCTGGTCCCCCTCCGGCGCCCTTTTCTGGCCCCGCCGGACCGCGCCACGGCCCAGGCCTGGCCTGCACGCGCCAGCGCTGTCTGGGCGGCCCTGGGCTACCACGCTTCCCTCCCCGTGTCCTTCCTCGTGGCCACAGGCCTGGCTGCCCTCATGCTCTTTCCCCGCGCCGCCCCGGCCCGCGCCCTGGGCCGGCTCTCGCCCCTGGAGCCGTATACGTTTCACGCATTCCTCCTGCACATCCCTGTCATGTACTGGGCCGAGGCCTGGCTGGCGCCCCGGGGGGCATTGCTGCGCTTGACCCTGGCGGCGCCCCTCGCCGGCCTGGCCGCTCTGGTCCTGGCTGTGTGGTGCGCCTCGCTGGCCGCCGCTGCGGCGCTGGGGGCGCTGGAGAGGGCCGTGCTCCAGCCCGCGCTCTCCAGAACCCTGGCCGTGGTCGGCTGGTGAACATCGCAGCGAGGGGGGAGATTGTGCCCTTTTCCCTGTAGATGACCTACAGCGGCCTAATAATCATTTCACATTTCTGCGCTGCCCTCCATCCTCGCGGCAAGCCTCATCGGTGTTCCCCACCCAGCCTGCATTCTCAGCAAACCTCCACCTCCCCCTGACCAGTGTTGGAGTGTACATGTGGGAGGAGGGGGGGTAAAAGGGTGCAGAACAGAGCGGGCGGAGCAGCGTCCAAGGAATATCGGGTGGGCGCTCACACGACCTCTCCTTCCGGCAGCAGGAGCTTGAGGAAGGCGGGGCACAGCGCGTCCAGAGACGGCAGCACGTGCGAGGGTGCGTCCAGGAGGGTGGCCCAGGGCGCGGCAGAGCCCAGCGGGGTGCCCTGCGCGAGGCTTTTGTCCCCCGCCTGTCCCGCCGCCTCCGGCGCAAACATGGCCGACAAACCCTGCGCCGGTGATTGAACCGGGTCCCCGTCCACATCCGCCGCGGCGACGGGGCCGGTCATGGTCGCTGCCACGGCCACTCCCGCGCCCGCGCCGGCCCTGCGCAGGAGGGAATAGTGCCTGTCTGGCCCCAGGAGGACCAGGGGGCTTGACCCCGGGTGCGTCGCGCCGCTCGCCACGCCCGCCAGCTCGCAGCCCGGGGGCACGAAGAGGATCTGCGGCGCGGCGGGCGCGGCGCCGGCCG